AACCCTCACCTGGAGATTGGATCAGGATCTTCGACGTCGGAAAAGCTCTTGTTTGTTAATTTTTCCGATTCCCCGTAATCATCAAGTCTCGACTGATTCACTTCTTTCGAAGCGAGAATGTGACTCCAGTCTATCCGATATGCCCGTCTCCGATGAAAATCTTCTCTATAACTTCCTATCCACGTCTGTCTGCTCATTCAGTCATCTTTCTCTTCTCTCTATTCGTCTCTTTGAGTGTGCACATTCGCTGCCCTTGCTGAAGTCAAGGGTTGGCTGGTGTCGCAGCCAGCCAAGTGGTCTCTGGTCCCCAATCTCTGGAACGAGTGGTCCGCGTAGAGTGAACTTATTGAGCTAGATAAGCTAGCTGAATAATCTCCGAGATGCGTATCCAGCGCCATCGTTCCAGAGAAGAGTGGCCATAGGCCAGGTGAGTAGAAATCAAGCTCAATCAACAGCTGCCATTGGGTCCCCGCTCATATGAGCGCGCAGTGATGTCATCTCACTCCCGGACGACTGCCATCGAAATGCCTGACTTCAATTATTAATTATGAATGATTGATCGATCGAATGGATGAATGAATGGGTGATCGATGGTAAGGTGATGGGACAGACCGGGCGGAGATTCGATGACAAGCATGTGTCCATGTAGTTTACCGATGGTAGTTCGATTGATTGACTCATTGATTATTATTATCATGAGAGAGAGAGATGGGAATACCACGGAACACTACTCAGGATGATGTCGTAGGTCGCGCCATCAGGTGACGATATTCGTTGGTGGTATTGTTGTGGTCGATGTTGCTGATGTTGATGTTGTGTGAGCTTCTTCCACTCCGGCCTGGCTTTAGGTGTTCGGTCTGGATTGTTGAGATGCGTTGTCGAATACCAAGAGCGTCGTGCGGCAGGAAGCCTGGTCTCCTCGTCCGGAATGAGTCGTATGGCTCAAGTCATTGTTGTCATTATTATCGCTGCCGATGTTCGATGTGGCCTCCCTACACTTATCCACTGTCGCCGACACCACCACCAGCACCGTTTTCACTGTATCGCTCGCTGACCGCAACCCTCACCGCTAGGGGTCTCGACAGAAATCCTCCAAATCACCAGTTCAGAGACGATACACCACCTCTCAACCCATGCACCCCATGTCGACGGCGATAATCACCCTTACAATTAGAGAGCCTTCTGGGATAATCTTCTCTCAATACGGACCCCACCATACTCGAAAAGTCTTTCACTGATACGAATCTCTCTAATCGAATCGTGGGCTCGAATTATTGAAATCGCGATGTGAAGAAATTTCGCGATCCCTCGGGGAGGGGAAAACATCTGCAGGATTTGCAAAAAAGCGTATGAGAAATCGCATGGACTGCGGTTATTCGCCGCTCCCAATAGAGTCCGATGTTAAGGAAAGGACGCAGTCGCGCTTAGTATTTGCGGTTGCGAAGCCGAATCATCGGCCCGTCGGGACAGCTTCGTGATACTTCGTGAAATTCATTCACGAATCTCGGGAATATTCGATAGAGTATTCAGAGAAAAACACTACGGACCTAGCTGTCCTGGCTCAGTCCAGCATAGCAGCAGCAAATGGATGCTGACTTGCTCTGTGGATGAGTCTGATTTTTTTGTACCCGCTGGCCCGAGCTCGGTACTCGACCCAAGAGGCCACCCTTCCGATCTCCCTCGGCAGTACGCCGAACTTCAATCTAGCGAATCCGATGACGACTCTTCGGAATTCATAATTCCTCATACTTTTCACGAACCCCTCAAAAACTACTCTCGAGATCTCTCAGAAAAACGATACGAACGACGATATAGAGACATTAGCTCGCCAATCAGGGAGCGTCCGAATTCATCGAAGGGAGGAATCAGTAGGGAATCAGACGAACCCACGCTGAGGAATCAGTAGGCAGAAAAAATCGCAATATCTCACCATTGACCTAATCTGAAGTCTCCTTCCGCCGATCGGTTGACGCATCATCCTAACTGCGATGTTGATGTTCGGAGAGACGATCTAAACCTTGGTCGAGTAATTAGTTGATGACTTTGACTGCCTTGAATTCTGTCCCATGATGATGATTGACGATCGATGAGTGTAACCACGAGGGATAATTCTGTCGTTGTTCTTGTTCATGTTGTGGTTGTCTTCGTCGTCGAAGTCGACGTCTTTGTCTGCTGATGCTGAAAGGCGTATTCGACCAACGTCGGAGATGTTCGTGTCGCAGACGATAATTATGATAATTTGTCGAGTGATGAAGATGATTGATGACAGCCACAATGTATAGTAATTGTTTGGTCTTTCGCCAGCTGCCTGGGTATGCACTTGTTTGGCGGTAAGTTCTGTCAGAAAGCAGACGGCAGCCTGTGTACATGCCAAGATCTCGCAAACTCCTCGATCGACTGCCAGTGTGACAGAAAACACTTTAACTCGTTCCTATGGGCCACCGTGACCGTGTTCCAGGTATGTTCTTAAAGTATGTTCTATAAAGTCCCTCTCTATGTTTCCGTGTCCGACAGACGTTCCGACTGAACCTTAGTCTAAATGTCAGGCGTATCCATCTGTTCGAGCTCATGCTTAGCTCGGATAATACGCCTTTCGGTGGGTAGTATCCGGCATACATAGAGGATGAGGCGGACGATGAGACGAAAATATACTCATACGTTGAGGAGCTAAGCCCGAACAAGAATTACTTGCCTCGGACAAAACTTCCAAGTCCTCCACCACTCTCTCCACCACAACTACCACCACCACCACAACAAGCGTAATCACCTAGAGAATGTTAGGGATTTGGAAGCAAGACATCGGGAACGTGGGGATAGGGGAACTCATGCTCACAAGCAAGCCTCCTGGAATTCGTTTCGGAGGTACATTCGAGTTTGGGGATGCTCGATTCCCTCAAAATCTATATGCCTACCACAGTGGCGGTTAGTTATACCATGAAGACTCAGCTGACGGAAACTCATATAGAATTGAGAAAAGTTCGCGTCCAAGCTCCTCAAAACTCCTTGCATGCCGAGTCGTTGATGTACCGATACGATTATTCCTCAATTTTGAGGATGAGCCGTTCCCTGGTACATCATTGCATCTTGCGGAAATATATCACTAATCCGATGACTTATCGAATCTCGTTCGATTCTCTTTGATTCTATACATCTATAGATCCTCACTCAAGAAGACTGGAATATCGTGCTTTTCAACGGAATGGAGAAAACGAGCCCGTGGGCTGCGCTGTACTTCGTCGCCTTGATGACGTTCGGCAATTATGTTCTCTTCAACCTACTCGTCGCTATCCTAGTCGAAGGCTTCGCCGCCGAAGGTGAACGCAAAAGGACTATGGAAGCGTTGGCGAATGCCGAAAATCAACAGAAACTCATCGAGGAAACCAACATCGACACCAAAGTATGACCACAAGAAACTCCACTCCGGCTCTTTGAGCCTTTCCCTCGATCAACGAGACAGACTCGATCTGAATACCCGCTTGGGTCTGTTTCCTCTTATGGGATTGAACTGTGAAGCGGTAACCTTTCGTTCGCAGATTCTCGAGGAAGAGGAAATGCAGAAAAACAATATCTATCGGGACCGTCGTTTGCAATGTCCCATCATAACGAGAACGGCAGCCACGCCTCAGGGCAGCCCCAACACCACCTGTGTCGAACTGCCTCTTATGACGCTTACGACCGAATCCATTGACTCCATCGACCGGAGCGTGAGTACACTCGATCATTCCGATGCTTCTACGAGTTGGATTCCACGGGGGAAGCATTCCGCATCGACGTCATGAAGCGCTTTCTTTATCTATTTCACCCGTCGATGGGAGTGATCGATTTTCGGGTCCTTGTTCCCTTGAAAAATCGCTTTCTTCAATTATTGAGCCCTGTATAACTATTGGATATCTTCGGAGCTTCCAAGCTCCCTCCGCCGTGATTCTTTCGTATGATAACGCCGAATTCTTGCTGCATCTACACTCTGGTGCTCCGTTTTCACACCTCTGTTTCTCTCTATGATGCACATGCAGGTGGCTGAGATTCCACCGGGAGATCGCGGTCCTGTCCCGCCGTCTCCATTGACTTCGAATGCGAATCTTTCGCCAAACACTTGCACCCTTCAGGTGCCGAGTGAGTTTTTCACCAGCAGAAACAATGGCTCGAGTTCGCGACGCCGCAGGAGGAGTTGCGTGAGTCCAGTCAACGTGGCGCATGCTTTCCGCAAGGTGAGTAGGCCAAGTGACAAGTAGCGAACCTACACTAGCTGAATAGCTGTATCGACTCATGTAGTGCAGATCGGTACCAAGACACCAAACCAAAGCGAGCACAAAGCACGGCAGAGCATCGTGAGCACCAAGCAAGAATTCCACTGCAGAGGTAGTCGAGACTTCCAAACGTTGTGGTCCAGAATAGCTCAATGAAATTGAGCTTCGCGTCGAAGCACCACAAGCACCTTGAACACCTTCTCCATCGAGTCCTTGCACTCCACTCCACTCACTAGACCACTACGCCTGAGAATAAGAGAATCCGGATCGTCGCTGCTCGCAAACGTTCCCGCCGGGACTTGGGCAACTGCCGGATAGATCCGTACGCGTAGTTTCTCCGAATGCGTAGTTTACCCAGGGCTCCAGCGAGCACACCGTCGCAAACTCGTAGATCACGCGTCGTCGTAACTTCTGGTCACTAGATAAAGAGAATAACCCATGTAGATTGATAGATTGCAGTGCTGATAGTACAAGCTAACGTGAGTTTCCCTCTCATTGCGCCTTTCCTTCCTTCATGATGAACCTTCCGTCCCAACCGCACTTGTCCATCTGTCTACCAAACATCAATCTATCCATGTCTATCCATCAATGAACGACTCCATTCGTGCTAATCATCTTACGCATGACGAACCCTCGCTTGATTGTCCATGGCTGGACGTCCGTCTGCTGGTCCGTGTGGTATGCCTTCCTCCGGTCGGAATGGCAACATCGCTCGGAAAAAACAAAACCTATCCCACCTCTGGACGAACGAACAACCGACAAACATCCAACCCCTCGACCGACCGCCAGAGCGAGTGTTGGACCTCGCAATCGACTGCCGCATTCGACTGCTTGCAATCCTACTCCGCAGCCGCAGCAGCAGCAGCAAGGGCCTTACCATTGTTATCCAAGCAGGCATCTATCTCCACAACTGGAGATAACACTGGAACTTCGCGGGCCGCCCTTAGTCTGGGCAACCCGCCTTCTTTCTTGCAAACACAATCAGCCAGCGTCAGCCCGTGTCCCAGTCCGACTCCACTGTCGGCTACTCAGAAGGCTTTCCCGATGCCGACCGTGACGCCTCCGCCGCTGCTGCCACCACCACCGCCTCCTGCGTCACAGACGTCAACGCAGTCATCATGTCACGCCAAGTGGGTGCTCGACACGCTTAGCGTCTGGCTCTCTTCATTCATCAGAGCCCATGATACATTTTCGTTCCATCCTCCGAATTCTTGAGCGAGCATTCGTCCATCTCTCCGCTTCCTTTCGCCTCTCGGTGTATCGAGGGATCTGGAAACAATCGTCTGAGGTCGAATTTCGCCACTTGCAGGGAAACATTGAACAATCAAAAATCTGCCCCCACATCTGCGCCGAAACAGCTGGTCCTCACGAAAAACGACACCGGTGCAAGCCGCCTCCAAGGACATCTGGGAAACGCTGTAGTCATTTCTCCGAAGTTGAGCCGAGAGAGCTCCCTTAAAAAGAACAACACCGATGCAGACAGCGGCGCCGGCATCGAGACCTCAAACACAGGCAGCGGCCTAATGAAGAAGCAGGTGAGACACCTTTGTGCCTCACGTTTCTCCCTCCACTCCCGTTCTCCGCCTCTCTTCATCTTCCCAGTTCCGCGCCACCGGTTCTCCCGGGACGAGAACGAACGTCTGCAGGTCCTAGTTTTCTGTTTCTCCTTTCTTATCGCCACACGGAATGTGTACACTGACACACGGAAAGTCTTTACGTCCGTCTGGGAAATCTGCCGACTATCGCCGCCACAGAATAAATGAAAGCGAGCAACAGAGTGGGAGTTCCTCTCTCGGAGTCGTTCGTCCCTCTTTCCCGAACCTTCCCAATCGAAGATTCATTTCTTTCTGCTCTCTGTCACGCCTTGTCGATTTTTGGGGAAGAGAAAAAGAATCCCACCCGAGACAGTGCTCTGGACTCCGAATGTTCGGATGATAGTACATCAAATATTAATGAAAATCACGCCATGGGATGGCTTATCAGTATGAGCAGGAGACGTGCTCCTGTTTGAATTCGCAAATACAAGGATAGCTGGCTGCCGGACTGCGGTCGACTGATTGAATTCCGGCGCTTTTACAGTTAAACGCAGATCTCGAGGGCGGCATTGGAGGACAGGACATCCACATGAAGGTCATTGGAAACACGGGAAAGGTAATTGCTTTCACTCAGCCGCCTCAACTTCCCGATACTCCGTTGCCAAAGGTCAGTTTCCCCCACATCGGTATTGAGGAATTCTGCCGGTTGCCGTCGCACCGCCGAACCCAGAACGATGATCTGCTTTTGAAGGAGTCTCAGGGAAGCAATTCGAATTTGCAGCTCTTCGGATTATTCGAGCCTCGGTGGTGTTTTCGCAACAAAGAAGACTACGCGCTGTTCATGTTTTCACCCACGAACAGCATTCGAGTTCTTTGTACGAAATTCTCGGACTCTAAGTCTTTCGACTACGCAATACTGGTATTCATCGCTGCTAATTGTATAACGTTGGCCATGGAACGACCCAACATACCACCAGGGAGTCTGGAAAGGCATATACTTGCGGCGGCGAACTACACCTTCACCGTCGTATTCGCCTTCGAAATGCTCGTCAAGGTGAGTCTCGGTCGGAGTCCGATACAGTTCTCCCTGAACGAGGGAGAATCGTCGACTGAGAGCGGACCTCTCTCCTCAGGTCATCGCTAAAGGATTGTGGTACGGTCCACACGCTTACCTGAAAAGCGGGTGGAACAAAATGGATGGGATGCTCGTTTCCATATCACTCATCGACTTCATGCTGACCATCGTCGCCGATGGAGGACCCCGAATATTCGGTAATTACGAGTATAATGATGGTGTTCGATGTGGACTCAAGAAGGGGATGGATCGGACCCCGACTCTCCGAGGCTTGGGGGTGGGAGTTTCGAAAAAAGGAAGGTGGGGGCGAATCACAGACCCTCAGAGAATATCTTTCGAAAATGGTCCCTCTGCAACGCTCCTTCTCGCTACGAGAGACTCATGAGTCGCTCCATAAGCTACACACATCTCGCATCTCCTGGACCTCGACATCCGAAATCGCTCTCCGACGAACCTTATTGAATATTTCCACAATTTTCGTAGGGATACTACGAGTGTTCCGACTCCTTCGATCTCTGCGACCTCTGCGCGTCATCAACAGAGCTCCTGGATTGAAATTGGTCGTGCAGACGCTCATGTCCTCGTTGCGACCCATCGGGAACATTGTTCTCATATGCTGCACGTTTTTTATCATATTCGGAATTCTAGGTGTACAGTTATTTAAAGGTTCGTAAAGTCTCCCCGATGAGTTGGGGCTCGGAATATCGAACACATTCTTGAGCCGAGCGGTCCCGAAGGCACCTCTTGATGATGACTCGATTGATCTCTCCTCCCAGGATCATTCTATTACTGCGAAGGACCAGACGTGAAAGACGTCAAGAGTAAAGCAGATTGCGGAGCCAAGCCGGGGTATCAGTGGGTCAATCGCAAATATAATTTCGACAATTTAGGACAAGCGCTCATGGCGCTCTTTGTACTTTCATCGAAGGTGAGTCATAGTCCTTCCCGATCGACGCTCCAATAATCATCACAGAAGAGAGCACCTGCATGGGACGCTCGGTTTATCTCGATCTGACGTTTTCAAGACGTTTTTTGGTCTCCGCGAATGACGTCCGCCTCATGCTGCGCCCCGTTTGCAATACCGACGAAGTTTCACTCTTCTAGGACGGCTGGGTCGACATAATGTATTCGGGGCTTGATGCCGTCGGCGAAGACCTGCAGCCGATCGAAAATTTCAACGAATGGCGTCTCCTGTATTTTATCTCGTTTCTCTTGTTGGTAGCGTTCTTTGTACTGAACATGTTCGTCGGGGTCGTCGTCGAAAACTTTCACAGGTGTCGAGAAGAACAAGAACGCGAGGAGAGAGCGCAGCGTGCCGCCGAGCGCGCCCGCAAACTGGAGAAACGACGACGACGTAAGTTTTGCAACACGCGTAGAATCAGGTTCACAGATCGTTCCCTGCGTCCATACATATCGTCATGAGGTATCCTAGGGAGAGTCCAGACACGCCGCTCTTTCTCGTTTGCAGTTCTTCGAGAGCCGCCATATTATGCCAGCTATTCGAAAACTCGGCTTTTCACACACAACATGGTAACATCGAAATACTTCGACCTCGCGATCGCGGCCGTCATCGGCCTGAATGTGGTCACCATGGCTCTGGAGTTCTACCAGATGCCCCTGGAGCTTGAATACGCTCTGAAAATCTTCAATTATTTCTTCACTGCCGTTTTCATCTTGGAACTGGCGATGAAAGTCATCGCTCTAGGAGTTCCTAGATACTTGATGGATAGGTGGAACCAGCTCGATGTGGCTATCGTGATTCTTTCGATTATGGGTAAGAACTCGATGGTCGCTTGATCACGCGAATGCCGGGGTTTGGAACTTGTCGCTGACTTTGCCTCATCGCTGCAGGCATTGTTTTGGAGGAAATGAAGAGTGGTTTCATTCCTATAAATCCAACTATAATCCGAGTGATGAGAGTTCTCCGGATTGCGCGAGTCCTCAAACTTCTCAAGATGGCGGACGGAATGCGAGCTCTGCTGGACACCGTCATGCAGGCCCTACCACAAGTATGGAATTCTTTGAAAGATGAACCGAAATAAATACATATACGGTTCCCATGATCGGTAGGATTTCCCCTCCATCGACGGCCGAATGACTGAATCTGTATTCTTAATTCCAGGTTGGAAATCTGGGGTTGCTATTCTTCCTGCTGTTCTTCATATTTGCAGCATTGGGTGTTGAACTTTTCGGTAGATTGGAGTGTAATGATGAATTCCCATGCCAAGGGCTAGGCGAGCATGCGCATTTTCATAATTTTGGTGAGTGGAAAAGACCTGAGCCAGATCTGCTCCTTCATTCCTTACGTCCAAGATCATCAGCCCAAGGAACTTTTGAACTCTTCAGGTATGGCATTCTTGACGCTATTCCGCGTGGCTACGGGCGACAACTGGAATGGAATAATGAAGGTAAAGTGTTCGTCGCATGAGCCGAGGGCGGGGAGACGCGGTCATTCTAAGCATCAGGGGTACGTCGGCAACAAACCCCATCACACTCAATGCCATGATCGGAGCCGGTAATTTGCGACCGCGACACCCATACCTCGTGAAACGCATTTGTCCCTTCGAGAATTGATTCCTTGAAACGATGGGGACGCGCCCCGGCTGCCGACGTGCCCGACCTTCCCTAACCCCGTATCAAGACTTTCATCCCCCCCCCCCGCAAGCTCCGCTCCGAAGGGAGGGATGTATGAATTCTCAATCTCCCGCGGAGTTGCAGGCCGTTATATCCGTTGATTCTTTGATGTAGGGGCTTTTTACAGACGAAACCTTTCGAAAAACGTTCCCAAAAATTCATTCCCCCTCCTCAGGACACTTTGCGAGACAAATGCGATTCGAGCTCGGATTGCGTGAGAAACTGCTGCGTCTCGCCGGTGATCGCCCCGTTGTATTTTGTCATCTTCGTACTGATGGCACAGTTTGTCCTTGTCAACGTGGTCGTCGCCGTGCTCATGAAGCATCTTGAAGAGTCCCATAAGCAACAGGACGACGATCTGGAAATGGAGGTCTGTTCCGACCCCGATGTATCCTCTATCAGCCGATCCGAATGGAAGTTGAGATCGCTCTCTTACCGAACTTCCGATCATCCGCAGGCGGAATTACTAGAAGAAGAGCTTGAGCGCCAAATGGCAGCAGCAGCTGCCGCAGCTAGACACCAGCAACACGCATTCCAGCATAGGCCAATAATAAAGATGTCATCGTTACCTTCAAACTTCGTCTTCTACTTCACGTCAGATCACAGCGCTACCGCCACGAGCAACAATCTGAATAACAGCATCAACAATAATAACAACATGAATAACAACAATATTGCTAATAATAACAATGCTAATAGCAATGTTCATACCACCCAAGCTCAAGTGAGTAAAGGGAACCGAAGCTTTGTGGTTTCTCAAGTTTTTCCTGCCCCCCCCCCAAGGCGTCAAGTTCGGTAACATCGACTGATTCCAGATAAATACGAACTCAACAAATGAATCCACCCGATATCTCGACCGATTCAACCTGTCGAGCAATGTTGAAAAAGCAGATCCAGCAAACCCCAGTCCGGGATCTTCGCCCGAAGATCCATACGACAACATTCCTAGTCCCGGTCCTGATGAAGATTCTCAGCAGCTGTTCGACGACGACGATGACACAAACATGATCGTCTCCGCAAGGTAATCAGTTCTCCCGCCTGGAGCCGCCCGGACGGTCCGTGATCCAACGCAGCGTCCGCTCCACGATCAAGCACATTTTCTTTCCTCGAACTCTGCATATAGACAGGGAACATGTCGATGTAGCACCCTCTGATGACTCATTCGAATGATACTCCATGCGCATCCAAAGCACTGACCAGACTCACCGGCAAGCTACCAAGGATGAGCGAATCCATCAAAAAATTGATTTTTTGTCAACAGGGATGACCAGGCTATCGTCGCGTCTTTCGCTGATCTGTCCGCCTGTGGCGAGGAGTCCTGGACCGATTTGTTTAACAGTGACGCTAGCTGTTGGTCTTCCACTAGGTGAGAGCAGCGAGGAGGAAGGATTGCGATAGCCTTCCTCATTGCCGAATCCGAGGGATGCCGTGGGGTGAAAGAGTTGTCCCTTGATCAAGCTCAATTTATGTATATGTATATTGATTTGAGATTATATCCTCTGAATATGTCCGGAAGTCGCAGTAAAATAAGCTGACAGTTCCAGCTCTGCGGGAAACGACCAAGCGACGACCAAACTCCAACGAAAACCTCCCCTCGCTGACGTCGACTGCAGTCTCGACGGCCCTACTACCTCTGAATGAGCATCAATGAATGAATTCCTTCAAAAACAAGCCGCTGACATCCTCAAACTCGTCAGCCGGAAGGCCTACAATCAAGTTTCAAGCCCCGCGCTGATCCGGGATCATCTATGAAAAACCTAGATCAACAACTCCATAATACCAATCAGTCTATCAGCCTTGTGTTGATCCACTGCATATAATGTCTGTAGGTAGAAGAAAATCTGTACGGAAAGGAGAGCAAGATCTATCAATCAATCTCAAAGGAAACAATCATTGAAACCGATAAACTCCTGAATTTCAATCGACCGAATTTCAATGAGCTGAAATCGTTGTCGAGATGACGAAACCTGAGCAGGAAAGCGCATTTTCTCAGCCAAACTATTCAGGACAGTATTAGACAATTCATCTCAGTTAGTACACACATGTTCAGACAAACAAAAATAGCCGCGCTTCTCTGTCCCTCGCTCCCGTACACTACGAAAAACTCTCAATCCATCCAAACCAACCTAGAAAAGATGGGACAATTTCTCGTGGGGATCCATTCGTCCAGGGGACATCGGCTGTTCCGGCTCGGCAGTCAGGACTTGACGTTTTGCCACCTCGTCAGTTTCGACAACTTCAAGTGTCGGGTCGGGCAGCAGAAGCCGTCTGCCCGGGTCCACCATTGTCTACATTCGGACAAACGTTCTTCATTTTGAACCCTGCTTTAAAATGCTCTGGAGCAAGTTGAAGACTGAATCGGATCTACGAAAGAGTCATCCGTAGCGGTTAGAACGAGAGTGTCAATTGCCTGATGGTTTCTGGCCATGACTTTGACGTTCCGGGGAAAGCTAACGACACACCGAACAAAGGTAGCTTGGGAAACTTCTATAGTTGACGCCAACTTCTATCTCGGAACTTGGGTATACTCGCGATCAGAGTCATGACGACAACGATGAGCGATCATACAGTTCCCTACCATCATAATATGTATCTTCTTCGGGGAGTGCGGGCTGAGTACAGGGTTTGTATTGTGTAAAGTCAAAAAGTTCTGCGTCGTCTGGTCCTCGTGCGCGGTGTAATATAACGACGGTATCGAAACTTCTCGCGAAGTCACGTTTTCACATGAACATAATATTCTGACATATATTTGATACGCTTTCGACAGTTTGGCACGCATTCAATCGGGCGAAATAAGTGCCAGCGATGTTGAAAGCAACAATGCGAGCCAGCCGCCCACTCACACTCATCTCCTCCCCGCCCACTTATGAAGACACTCAGCAGCCATTACGAAGTCGCTCCCTAGAGCTCATTATGGAGCGGAATCTCCTCACTTTGGGAGTCGAATCATGCAATGATTGTATTAAATGTACATAATTTTTTTGGCAGTTTTCTCCTATATAACTCTAGCCAGCGAACATGTCTTCATCGTTAAGTGTTACAGCATCGAAGCGTGAGCGCAGTTGAGACTGATTGATTGTTGTTGATTTGAAGTTGGACGGAGACCGTTTGCCTCGCTTGCTTACGGTCAATTTTCAATGACCTGATGTGCGAATTCAGCCCCATTTCTCAGATTACGAATTTTTCAACCTCGCACCCTAAGGACTCCGCATTTAGACGATTTCTGAATCGTAACAATCTTAGCTTCGAAACAATTCCGCAGTATCGTTGGACCGGTGACACGCCTAGGATTTTCGTTCGAATTCTGGACCAGAACTCCTGTAAAGTAGGTCTTAGCTGACTGAGCTCACCGGGAACGGTCACACGAAGTTCAGAAAAGGTTTCGGCTTCCGGAAAATGATTCGTTGAGCTGGCATTGAGACTTGGAGTCAGCCAGGGAAATTACGAATGAGGGGTTTTAGATGTTCCCTCTGAATCTGCGGAGAGAACGACATTAGCGACAAGTTTCATAAATCGAGAGGAAAAATCGCAATCAATAGACGATGCAAAGCCTCACATTGTTGTTCGGGGAGAGACTGAAAGCAGTTGTTCCTCGACCCTTCAGATAGGTCTGTTGCTTGGAGCGAAGCCTCCTGTATCTCTCGCTTCTCGCCGCACGGACCGTCAGTGGTATGTGAATGACTGGTATGATATGTATTGCGTGCAATAAAAACGGAATCCACACAGAAGGGACAAACAAAACCCTAGAGACGTACTAGATTTCAGCCAAACCCTACCAATAGGGAAGCTCTCGATAGAGAGAACTCACAGTACGTGTATTCGAGCCTAGCCAATGAGGATGATAACAATAATTAATGATAATAATAATAACATTGATAATGATACTTATGCGGACGATCATCTGTTGAGAGAGACGACGAACGAGGAAAACAAATGGAACCTGAAATCTGTCAGATCAAGCCAGTCGAGGGAACGAACAGAATTTTAGGTGCGTGGGTTGGATACTTTGAAGAGAATTTCCAATATTAGAGATGCCTCGTCCAAGTCCAGGGCAAAAATCCTCAACGGAGCCTATTGCGTCAAGTCCGCGTTTCTATCTGCGATTGCGTCAGAATCAATCCTCCCCATCATATCATTCATATAACAGTCCTTGCGGAGGAGAGAGACGAAATGCGCGGACCATGACGACTTGGTATTCATCGTGAAGTGGGGAGTTTTTTTGTAAGGAACGAACCCAAACTTGGTGAGCAATTGCGTTAGATGCCTAGTGTCGATGGTTTAGAGAGACAATGACAGCAAGGATCGTCCAGCGGAGATGATCGATTTGAGGGAATAAACGAATCAGGTATCATACCAGTCGTGCTGCATTTCATTAGAATCTGTCATATTAAGACTGAAATCGGTCTATATAAGTGGAAGGTAGACCTCTAGCCGCGTTGTGAGGGAGCAAATGCGTATTTCAAAGCCAGATAATCGATCCTCAGACCCGGGTTCACACGGTTAGTCGTTTCGCACTCTCGCCGTATGATTGAGTGGGAAGCGGACGAGGGAATGGGGAAGGGGTTGGATTGTACGGATGAGCAGGCGGCAAGAATGACGCTTTGGGAGGGGGAGTTTCACAACAGGACACGAGGAAGGTACAGACAAGTGAACTGCACGGAGGGCTACGCAGGCGGTTCGGGGGGTGAAGGGTTGTTTCACTGAGAGCAAGGACAAGCGATTGAAGGGTGAATGATGACGACAGATGTGAATGGCGGCAGACCAAGAAGCCCACGGAGGGTGCCGTTTGAACGACTCCTCGAACAACCAAGGGCAGGTGTTAAAGCCCGTAAATACAGTAAAATGCATCGAAGTCGGGATGAGCGCATGACCTTCGGTCAATCTATCTCGCGGCGAATTCGCATTGACAGAATTGGTTCCGCCCTTGAAGCAAGGTCATGAACTTCTCATCGCGCTCTCGTGATTTCCGAAACGTGGTTCGGCGACTAAATGTATCTGGTCAGGGGAGAGCGAGCAGTCTGGATACATGGACCCTAACTGTGATCGTCGTGAATGATTTACGCAAACCGACGATGAGCGCTAGAGTCGGATATTATATCAAACGATGGCCTCATTGCGTCAAATGGTACTGCCGGGAGAATATCTACAGAGAAATATTTGTTTTGACGACTAAATGAGCTGTGTAAGCGAAGCCCCCTGCGCGAGCCATCCAAGCGCGTATTCGGTTTCGATGACGGGGGGAAATTCGGTGATGAAACTCTCCTCTCCCCCACGAGAGAACCATATGGTTGATGAATGCGGTAAGTTATTTCGGGACATCGGTTCGAGGCGGAGACAATAAAGATGAGAAGATTTCACGCATCTCCATAGTTGGGGTCTCCAATTACCTCATCATGCACACTGACTCGTCGAAATCATTCGCCTCGGAAGCTGAGACACGGGAACCTATCCTCCGAGCCGGAGCTCTCCCGTTCCGAGTCGACACCTACGAAGCCAAGCCCTGTCTCGGAAGCACAATCCTCTCGACTCCCGTCGTCATTATAATCCCCGTTTCAAAAAGTCGGGACTGGTTCCGGAATGCAAAGAATTTATCATCTGTATCAAAATCAGCTTCGGGATTCCGATATTGCGTAGAGTAGTAGCGTAGGGCGACGACTTCACTTTCCATTGGAGGGCTCGAAGGATACAGGGAACTGACTTGTTCTCACGATGCTTCCGTGATGAATGGCAGGAATTTACGAGGAACTGTCTGGGCACGTCGCGTGGAGTCAATCGACTGCAGTGTTAATATGGAGTGCGCCGTGCCGTGAACGCGATTGCATGTAGTCTCCGACAGGGTTGAGTGAGGTGAGTCCTCGCGAACATAGTTAACGAACCTTAGTTTGCAAGCTGGCTATAAAAACGCAGCTGCGGCAGGCAACTACAGCAACACGCGAAAATTCGGGACACTAATGAAAAATAACCTCCCGGGGCGTTCGCCTCGTCGAGTCGGAGACGCGCCATCAGCCCAGCGCTCTCGCCGCGAATGTTCCTCGTCCGCAGCCGAGAGGTCAATTTCCTAGGTTTTGGTGAGGCGGGGAGAAGTGCATCCCGAGTGAGGATTCCCGTCCTGGGAAGAAGAAGATTGGACCGACTTCGCCAGCGGAGAGCTATCTACAAACGACTTTTCTCCGCATCTAAATCCGATTGAGCGACTCGTACGCCGAAGTCCGCGTATAATCTTCTGCAACACGGAGCGGGACTTATCGTCGGGCTCTTTTGCATGGCGCGCCATGTCTCGCAATCGGTCGGTACTCTCCGTTCGGATCATTGTTATTACCGGCTATTTCTCCTTCCTATGATCAGTAATTCACAGCCTTGTCTTTCCATGCGAACAAAAACTCTTTACAACTTTGTTCTCGGCCGTCCGAGAAAGTTTGCTCCCATGCGCTCCCGAGTCTGTTTTTTCTTTGTTCACATCAGCGAGTTTTGTGAAACGTTCATCGCTCCGGAGGGATCTGCCGTGTGGGAGAGGAGAGACGGAATAACACGGACCCTCCACGGCGCAGACTGGGACTGATTTCCATACCTTTCCCTAGATCAAGCTCATCGGACATCGCGGTGCGATTGGGCGGATCGATGTATATTCATGCGTCAACCGAGCCAACGAGGTTCCGATCAGAGCCACGTTGACCATATCGAGCTCTACGACTTTTGATCTCCCCGTTCGTTGAGTACGATTTAGAGGCATGTAGAGCCCACTCCGATCGTACGTCTGTCATGGACGATCAGAGAAGATGGAGCTGCTTTCCTCGCTGTCGTTCCGAAATAATTGCTCTTTCTCACTCAGTTGTATTATGAAAGAGATACGTACAGAGCTCCCGGATGGAGCGTTCTTTCGTGCTGTCGGGGAATCAGTACTGTCGACGACCATCGGGCCTACATGGAGCAGCCGGCGGAGCTATCAATGTCGGCGGGGAATGAGGTGCTGAGCACGGACACCCAGAGCTGCTCATGAATCTTATTTCGATAAGGAACGGAGTCCGAATCGGATTCGTCAGAATTTCTAGAGGGACTCTGTCGATGCCGAACCTCGGGTGAGCCCCTTTATTGATTGCCAGCGTCAATCAGATGCACGACGAGCTACCTTCATGGAAACTACATTTTTCTCGCTCATCCACGTCAAATCAACAGATGCGTTGCCTCTTCGTCGCCGCTGTCTCATTAGCTTGCGAGCGAGCGGGATGCATTACCGTGTACCTGAGCCCACTTTGTCTCCGGCAAGGGTTCTATGGGCGAGGATCGTTCGCTCTCACTGTCGCTGCTGCTGCTTGCCGCATGGTCGCTCAACGGAAACGGAGGCCACAATAATAATGTGATGACTACGCCTAGCAAAACCGGTAAAAGCGAACCAATAAAGCGCTGCACATCCACTACATCAACGACAACCAGTCCCCCCGCGGGAGTCAACAGGATCGAAAAGCCAGCGCCCGTTCGGGCAGGCACTCGGTCAAACCTCGACTAAATTGAAACGGCCTTGAAAACACCTCCGATGACCTTGATTTCTCTTCGCGAGGCGCGAGGCGTCGCTTCAACGGGATTCGGTCACGCGATTCGAGGCATCGCCGAGATCGGGTGATGAGCATTTCGATTCGAGGTAGCAGCAAGCATCGAGATTCCAACATCCGGCAGACTGAGGACAAACTTCAATGGATTGGGTTAGGCTCAGTGTTACCCACGGAATCCGGACGGGTTTTCCTAACGAGTCTTCGGGCGTCCATCCCTGCTTCTCAGGCTCAGTTCTCGCAGTTCCTAATTCGTCTTCGTCTTGTTTTCCGTAGCGGCCGACCCTTCTGGCGAGCTCTATTTCGAGGGCTTGTTGAGGTTCACATCTCATCAGGATCTGACTGTCTCTTTCTCACTTACACACCTCGAATAGAGTGCGTCGATTCGTTTGTATTCCATGCGATGAGCTCCGCTTGTCGCTCTACCTCGCCGTCGACAAGGCCGGCAAGTCCTGTTGTCGAGAGATGATTGTCGCTCGACTGGATTGTTTCACCGTCGCTCCGTGCTCAGAGACTCCTTCTCCCCAGTTCACTCGGCCATCGACTACGAAGACGAATGGACACCCTGGTTCTTGAGAGCAAATTATCATTGAATATCACCGGTCCCCGGAACTCACGCGCCTCCTGGCGTTGCGATTGGCAGGAAAACGGATACGCAGGCGCGCGTCCAGCTGACGGCGAAAGAAAGAGCTAGGCGTCCGTGACGGGAACGACGACTTGAGTCGTTCACCCTCCAAGGAGGCCTGCAGCGTTTGCTGCAGATGTATCCTAAAGCTCGGCTCCGTAAATTCAGACATACATACGTACGTATGTGTGTTTATGACGGGTTGTAAACCTTTTATTGTACGATTCATGCAACAAGAGAATTCGGTGCGCATATGAATCCGCGAAGGCATTCGCAGTCTGCGCACGGAAATAACCCGGAGACTCCCTCGACGCGAAAGGTTCCGAGCGCGAATGCCACATGACTATCAAAATCGAATAAAAGCCTACTCAGCTCTGAATACCAACCAAACTAATAAGCCGTGGTCCATATTGCGACATCTATAGCGGAACGAAAAAAGCGTGGAGCAACTCCAGGTGTGACAGACGTGGTCTCCGAGGCAACGACAGCCCGGCCCCGCTGCCTCCGTCCGGTACCGCTCCGATGCGTATGTTGCCCGCTGACGTCGAGTCCCGCATGAAAGACTCTCAGGCCGTAGGCGGGCGCGGACGCGGCATTCGTGCTGGAGACCTCAAAGTCTTCGTGGCTTCTAGCGAGTAAATATTCTCGTTATCTTCCATCAGGAATTTGATGCGATTTCGCCTGGACCTCAACTGAACGCACCATGTACGCTCGCGACGGCGGGCTCCTCCGAGAGGTGAGTGGACACGTTTTAGAAATATATCGCCGATCACGGAGACTTCCAAGAAGCGATAACCGTATCGATCGCTGATCCAGTCACGGCATCTTGAGTGCGAGCCCCATCGAAAAAGTTCCCCGTCAGTCTGACTGTCCCCTGCTGAAGTCCCTATTCCAGCAGACGTACACATATGGGTATTTAAATATTTATCGGGGGGTAATCTGGAGAGGCATGGCTCGTCGCTTAGCTCAGAGAGCGGCCGCTCCGACGAGTGAGCACGTCACCGTTGATACAAGAGTGTTCCGATGGCTCGGTGAGAGTTCTTCAGGATCAACTCGGGGTGCAAGCCATGAACTCCGTGTCGAGTATCGGGCATGGGGCATACATGATACATTCAGGGGATTTATTCCTCGCTGTCATCTTCCGCGCACCATGTCCTGGCCCACTCGGAGAAGGCGGTATGAGCAGTGATCCTTTTTGCCATTCGTTTGTCTGTTCGTTTGCCCCCCCCCCTTCCCCCGGATCGTTCTCGAGGGGAGTCCCTAGGGACTCTTCCCGGAGGAAGGAACGGAAAACAGACAAGCTTTCGGATTGGGATGCAGTCTCGAATAAAAACGACAAGACATGTTCTCATAAGTGTATCATAGCAACACGCGAGATGCTCCCTTTCGTAGTCCCCTAGGTGCATTCAAGACGTTTCCGCTGTCTGTCCTCCATGGAGCGTTCCTTTCTGAGAATCCAGAAGAGCTCACGCGAGCTTGGAATCACGAAGCTGTCGATAACAGCGTTCCGAAGCCCGATGATCAACTTGGTCTTTTTTCTTTGCAGGTGCGGCGCACTGTACTTTGTGAAGCATTCGTGCGCAATGTACTCTGTTTGTGTGTTCTCTCCGCTTTTGTTTTCTCCATGGTGCTGGGGGACGGCTTCATAATGACAGCCGGCGTGTTCAAAAAAGATAAGAAAACTGGCAGAGTCCCTAACCGAGGCTTCGTCATCGACTGTCTCAGCAAATGTGAGAAAGCGGAAAACTGCCACTGCGTACGGTAAGCCGTGTTGTCCCTGAAGAATACTTGTGCGACTCTGTGTGGCAGTCGTCAAATATGTGACCCGGCCGTTGCGTCGGTCGAGCGTGGCATTATGCGATACCGATGGAAGATCTTCATATGTAAATTCCTTCGTATTATGTAGATGTCGTGTCGGGGGATATTCACGGCGATATGTTTCATTCACGTTTCCCAAGCTATGGATTCGGGTAGCTCCGCCAGATCGGACAACCCGCTTGGACTCGTATCGAGATCTTGGGTCAATATTCTCATGCGAGCACTGGGCAGCAAAGCTCTCTGTCCCGAACTTGATTCCCCAACTGCCGCAGAACTAGCATTGTCCGCCAGCTCTCTCCCGGACATATCAAATCATGACGCGCGGAAGAATTATTGTTTCCCACTATCACGATCGGGTTTAATTTGTTTGAAGAATCGGACGTGGCGAATAGGTGCATCTGCCGATGACCGTCACCCCATTAACCGCCGCGCGCCGCCTCGGCGGAGGCGGGACCCGTTAAGGGAATGAGCGACGTTGCGGTCATGCGTTTCATTCGAATCACCGGGGAGCACTTGATGCTCGAGTCTATGTAAGTCACTCAGTAGCAGATCGTGATATTCTTCAAGGCCCTCGACTCCACTTCGGAACACCGACATCCTGTCGACTGACCCTCTAACTCCCACGTGGTCGAGAACATTCGTCTGGGGGTACGAAATGGATTAGAATATGAGAGTAAGATCCGCGTATCGATGGAGCGATGAATGTGGTCACAGAACGTACTTTGAAATCGCTCAACGGCCGTCATGCCTAGCATGAACATTGCATCGAGCTGTCACTGGTGCACTCAGCTCGCGCGGAGTTTGGTGACCTCTCTCACCGTCCCTGCCCACCTTTAGAGTTCTCAATCGGACTGCGAGAGCGAATCGAATTCGATTCGCAGACCTCGTTCGAGCTTTACGGCATCGACCACGCAGATCAAATGAGGTTTCTGAGCAAATTACGAAAGTCGAATCCTCAGGGAGATTTCGCCTTCAGGCTGTAGACCAACTTCACTACCCACACAGGGTCGAGTCGAAAGCCGATGATGAGAGTTCTGTTTTTCCGAGGGGGCTTCACGCGGGCAGCGTGTTCTAGCGGAAATCGCTCGCGGTCGAAAGATTTTTTCGCTTCGGACTACGTCTTTCAACGCTCTCTCCTTCCTCTCAGTAGCACGGAGCTCGAGCCCTTGCCCTGATTTCGAGGAGGCTCGCCGATCCTAATCCTGGCGGAGGAGGGAAGTCTTTAGTTTTTTGAGGAGCTCCCTTGCCCTTCCTCACCCTTGAGCGGGCTCAGAATTTCGGAGGTCCTCCCGATGTCCCAATCGGTGACCCCAGTCTGAATCAGCTCTCCGCAATCCTGTCTCAGACAACATGACAATTAGTGGATCGAAAACAAGTCGATAGCGGAACTCTGCGCATTTTCCCTTCTCGTGATCGGTCTCAGAAGCTCGGCTCTCCGGCCTTAGCGCGAAATCCCTCGGTAGACCCGGCAGCTGCCTTACGGGGATGTGCACAGAGGCATCGCGGTGGCCGAAGATGACATCGGATTACGAAGACTTTCCTGAGATTTCGGTGACCCTCATCGCACGACTGCAGCGGCCGACTCGGGCTTCTCCATACTCGGGCCTCTTCAGAGAGCGAAGCGAATGCAATAATTATGATTGCCTCATGCAAACAGATGAAATACTCGCCCTGAAATTAAGATCGTAATCGATTTTTGCAGTATGTCGAACCGAAAAGAGAAGCAGGTCTGCGATCTGATGAATCCGTTCCCCTATGGGAAGCCACTTCCACCGAAAGGCTATGTCTACTTCGCCTCCGTGAGTTTCAGACAGAGAAAAAGATTCAATACATTCAGCGATGGTTCCGGGGGCTGGGGCTCCGCGAAGGTCTCGATTTATTTTCTGAGACGAATAATACATGAATGTCCCTAGTGATGAGCCTTCACTGCGGTAGCGTACGATCAGAGCGTGTGACCCCTCCCATGGCTGTCTCTTGCTTCAATCCACTCCCGAAATAATTCCCGTCATCTTTTCCAGAACAAATACTACGAGACCGTCTACAATGGTGGGTTGGGTTGGCCGAATGAAAAATATATATTTTTCGGAACTTCTGAAAGATATTCATACGAACATCTGATACATGCCGTCGGAGGATCCGGGAACGGCTGATCGCGATTCGTTCCCTTACGAGCGTCTCTCTTGCATTGGTTATCCGTGATTTTAGTGAGTTCACCAAACTACGCTCTGCGGAAGAAAGCAAGTCAAAGCTCCGTGTACGAGTTGTATGGGATCCATTATACGCCAGAGAAAGCTGTCGATGGATCTCATAACACAGATGGTCTGAAACCTCCGTATTTCGCTCATACACAGGATTCGATGTGGGCGGAACTCAATCCTTGGTGGCAGGCGAGTTGGACACGATATCGACCCAGCTGCTCTTCATCTTCGCTCATTATTCAAGAATCTATACTTAAAACTCGCTCCCTAATTTATCACAGGTCGACCTGAACCAGGACGTGACTGTGATGGGCATCAGGATCCGCAATCGAAAGGAATGGGGTGAGTCTCGAACCTCGGGCTCAGTCGTTGGATGGGCATGGCGGTCAGTTCGATCCATTGGCAACTTTTTTTATCTGTCCCACGCGGGAAATGACCAGCAGAAACATCAGGACATGCTTCCGGAGGTCTCGCCTAGGCTCGACTCTGGCCTCACCTGCTTTCCACGCTCCCCTTCCCCGGGAGCCTCGAATTCGAGCGTCACATTTGTCAACGTCCTGAAGAGAAGCTGACCATGAAATACATCCTGCGTCGCTGGATGCCTGTCAGGAACTCTGCGAGAGAGCCTGTCAGTTTTCAGCAGGAACAATGTCGCGCGCAGGATTGGTCTCATTGAATTTGTACGCCACGATTCTCCTCAGAGCCCGAATACACGAATACACGAGAGTCCGAGCGATAAGTGCTTGACGGACGCTGGGACGCCGGCGTCGTCTCGCCGCTCGTCTCGGGATCAATCCGCTTCTGTGAGCCTCGGTCCGCAGCGAGTCGAGGGTTTGGAAAATTCCGTTGGAGTCCTCGTTGTTGATACAGACTGGATGGTTCCAAACTGGAAGCTTTCGTTGGAACGTCTGTCGCTGTATTTCCGTTCTCTCTCGGAATGAGCGAGAGAACGCCCGCTCCCTCATCGATGCGCGACGAGAGCCCTTCCTCGCAGTTCTTCTCCCGCGGTGAACTATATCCGGAAACCCCCGCAAACAATGATTCGATCGACCCGAACAAGCGGTATTTACTTTTGGCAGAGGGCCGACAGCGGATCGTCAGCCGCTGATCTGGTCATCAAGCCTCGCTGTCGTGAACACTCGACGGAGACGCCGATTCCGAGAGATCAGATGTCATCATGCGCCACGATGATCGCCGAGGAGTAACTACTCGACTTGGGTTAAGGGAAAAGACGGGTAAGAGGAAGACTCGGTCGAGCCGACGGAGAAAGAGAGACGGCTCGGGAGAGACACCGAACAGGAGGTCCGATCCCAAAGATTAGGAGGACGCGGCGACGAGGAAAAGCTCTGGTCAGCAGATTTTTCTCTTGTTCATTCCGGTGGAAGGGCAGCGCGTAATTGAATATCATCTTGTAGTGGGACCCCTAGCGTTAGGAAAGAGTGGAAAGAACCAATCATGAGCTATACATAGCGTACTCGGGGGGAGGGGGGAGAGACGCTTGCTTATCGTCCGCAGTCCCTCGGCAGCGGGAGCTTTCTATCCGCTTTGTGATGCCTCAGCTGACTCGAGAGTGAACAGACAAGGAATCTCCTTCTCGAACCGATTTCACATTATCTTCGTTCTACATCGAAAAAAGTCGTTATCTCAGGAGTCCTGAATCTTCTTTCGGGAAGTACGACGAGCCTCATCCCCGAGCTCCGACTGGTCGAGTTCTGACCATGGTACGGGACCATGTTCCCTTTTCCTATTTGAAATTGATTGGAGATGTTCTCATGGGAAAACGATCAGGATTCGGGTTGCCTCGCCGCGAGTAATGGGCTCGAGCGAGGCTGCTGTTTTAGGTCTCCGTTCAGCTTGGGCCAGCCCCAGAACTCACTGAGCTCATGCGTCGTACACCTTGCTTCTTGTTTCAACATTTGTTCAGAGCCGGGCGGCTTTTGGGTGGAGCTCCGGCATCGTTCGCGAGGCTTGCCGATGCCGAGATATTTTTAGTTCCAGTGTTGGGCTCGTTGGCATTGCAATCCATGACGTCGATCCAGTTTTAATTAAGCTCTGGAATCGAACGTGGTTTGGAAGCGCTTGTCGGACAAGTGTGGAGCGTGGACAAAAGATCGGTCGTCGAGAAAATCCCGCTTCGATGAGGGATGGGAAGACTTAACGAAATCTGATTGTGTATCAATGGGGGCGTCCCTCGCTATCGCCCTATTTCCGGAACACTGATCGGAGCCTTGACCGAAGGCCGTGCTCTGCTGGAACTCAAAATAGCCTCTGAACTGTAGGTGATCGTTTGCATGACTTCGACATTCGGGTTGGTCCCGTTCCAATCACAACTGATTACGATGATGTTCACTTCAAACAGAACACCAGGTGAGTGCTACGCTCATGGTGCAAACAGTCCGGATTCCCGGAAAGCCCTGCTCAGATCCAGGGATCGTGGTGTATGTTGAGAATCGTGCGGTCGGGATTCACGGTGTCACTAACTTCTATCCCCACAGGTGCTACTACAACGACAAGGGTGGAGTTCAAGACGAGGAACTGCGGCCTTTCCTCTGCAAGCCTTGTCCCATTCGCGGACGATACGTCTCCATCCAAATCACACAGAATTGTACCGATTGTAGGGAGCCGCTCAAGAACGTCCTGCAATTGGCCGAAGTCGAAGTCCTCGGGGTGCCATAGGCGCCTGGCTGAGAGATTGAGCACGCGCTGCCGTCCGAGAGTCCGTCGATCTGGAGCACCAGAGCGGAGAGACAATTCCTGGAGAATTCTGATTGTCGTAAATTCTCTCAAAATTTTGGAGGTCCGCCCCGGAGTCGGTCGACCAAACTGCTCGGGCAGCGCGATGCCTGAAATGAGTCCACGGAAACCGGTCTCAGCAAATTCTATGGTCTGAGAGACTCTCGTAACGATCGACACGTGCTCATTCGAGTAGGCGTTGGACCCTAAAGTCAATTTGTACATACGAATCTGCTATGCGTTGTCAGAGGACCCGTCCACGATAAGGGATTAAGAACTTGTTATAGAGGAGCTGAATAATCACGGCGCCGAATCTCAATCGGAGCAACCCCCGAAATAGAAGAAGTTGCATGCACTTGTGTATTCGTTCCTTTCCTATCGATAGACGCTTTTTTGTGCGTCCGCCGCTCTACCGGTGAGTAGTTCCCACAGGATGCCCATCGAGACAAGCGCTCCGGAAAGAAACCCGAGTCACGGACAGACTCGGCGAAGTGAATGAGATCAAATGGATGTTCCCGGGCGCTCGATCGGAATGAAGCCATACGATGGTCCCGAGAGGATCGGAATACGATGGCTTCAATGCGATGTCGTCGCCGGCTGTAGCCTCTATTTCGTTCAGCCGGCAAGCTTCCGATGAACGAACCCAGATAGGGGGGAAATCGAGAATTATGAAACCCCACCAATTCTGATTCGAACCGCTCTGACCTTAATATCGTTCGCATCCCACGCGTCCATTCCGACGATTAGGTAAGATGAGACATCGGCGACTCCTCGCTTACTCGGCTTACCTCTCAGTCAGAAAAATAAGTTGGAGCTATTTTCAGCTCGACGACGGCGAGTAGCCTCGGAAATTGTCAACAAGGACTTGAATGAAGGCTGTCGCCGATGTATGAGCTGCTTTCTTCCGGTAGGAAGAATAATTTTGTTTCTGGGTGGACATCGAGACCGGTCCGACGGGTCAGTCGGCACGGAGGTTGAGCCAGCGAACCACTCAGCTGGAGAATAGAAGAGGGCATCCAATGGACCGGACCATACAAGGAGAGCGGAACCAATATTGTTCGCCTACAACCCTTGGCTGCACAAAAGTGTTTGGAGACGCGCTGCATACTGTATTAGGAGCTCGTATATATGCATTGGATAAGCGGTAGTCCGGGGAAGCTGTCTAAAACAACCTCACGACGCTCTTATCGCCTCGGGCATCCTCATCACTTCCCGGTCGGAGGGGGGCCGTGGAAGGGGTTGTGTACATACGGCGCGGCGGTCGAACGATGCTGAGAATCGTCTAGGGCGAAGCTTGTCATCGAGGCGCTCAAAAATACCTACTGTCCTCAGCAGCCGCTCCGGAAATTCTTGTGTGCTTCCTCAAGAACTCTCAGGGAGGTAGGCGAGCCCGTGCAGGCCCCGAACGGTTTTCCATTCAAGTCTCATTCCACTCCATTTAGAGACCAGGTCTCCTCGTCGGAGCGGTCATCCCTAAGTAAATACATATGTATCATTGGCTCGGAGGGTCAGAGGTGCGGGGATGAATCAGTCGGCGACGCGCCCGTGTCACTTGGGGGCAAATGCTTATCCTCAAATGTTCTATCCCCGGTGCTGAAATATACATATATATTAGGAAGGGAGGAGCGGGTAATTTGTCCGAAAACGTCCCAACGAAATTCTATATGGCCTCGAGAGAAACTGGTCACGCTACTGCCGCTGTGAAATCTAGAGTGTCAAGAGGGGAACCGCGTCGAGGGACACTTTTTTGAAAATCCTCCTGGGATTCCCCATTTCTCGAGAATGAACGTTTAGTATGAAATCTTCCGCCGCTACAATTTTTTCTCCATGTTTCCGGTATTCTGAGCTATGCAGATCCGTCTGGAGAGCGCATCCGGGCTTGCCAGCTCAACGAAGTCTGATCAGCATGGCTCGTCGTATAAAGATGAATTCCCTATCTCTTGTTCGGGATCTGGATGTGGATCATTCTCGCATCGCTTGTTCTGAAACCCCCTCCCGTCGCTCAGCCGATTGGACGATTGGTCCACTGTAAAATCAAAAAACGTACGAGCCATGACCCGCAAATCGGAGACCCCGTAGAATCCGACCCCCTCTGCGACTTGCTTTTCCCTTGTCCGAAGCCTCTAGCGCAGACTCCACAAATGAGTTTTTCGAGCTAATCGAGCTACGCGAGCTGCAACGACGGGAAAGTCCTGTGCTTCTGGATTCCCTATGAGTCATGAGGGAAAGAACCTCCCCCCCTCCCTGTCCGCTCTCCGGTAATGCTGCTGCCTGAAAGTCCAATACGAAGAGAGACCATCTGGCATCGAGTATTCGGAGCTCTCATGATTCTCAGAAGTAGGGAGGCTGGCTCGAAAAGCCCACGCATCGGAAGCTGCTTCCGGTCGCTGGATTGAATTATGAGCGCAGGGAAACACGGATCAGTGTCCGTTTTTCGTTTTCTCTTCGATGTGAGCCTGACGATGGAAGGGATTCCAGCACCAAAGGGGAAAGAAACAAGAACTCCAAAATTCTTGAATCAGAAGAAGTGAACATTCCAAGCGCCTGATTTGCTGTGTACTTCCAGCTAGCCGAATGAGAGATTACCTGATGAGAATGATGATTCCCCTGATCGAATCGTTCATTCGTTGAGTTATATAGAGGGAGAGTTTATCGTAGGTGTTCGGTCACTCTTTCTGGTGACTGTATTGTGTGCCACTGACGTTGAATCCGCGTACGTCTTCATCCCCCAAGGCAGCAAAACCTTGGGACAAGTTTCTGATGATGAGGCCGACACCCATATTGTCGTTTCTTCGAGCGTGTAATTTTCCGCCTATGGAATGGGACATCGGATGAGATGTCGGCCGTGAGCTCCCGACGGGCATGAACTACGTCCGCCGGCGCGGTGGTGCAGTGATCGTCGATACGCGTCTTGGAAAGCTCCGGTTCACATGCGAACGATTCCTATTCGGCGAACGACGAGCTGGTCAGGGGCTATCAGAAAAGTCAGCGGAGGAGGAAGAATGCTCGGACATGCTTTCGCAATAATGGATTCGTTCCTGCTGCGTCCGGATCTATCGTGTTCGGTGGCTAACCTCGAGCGGAGACGTGAGCAGCTGATGTGACCGGCGAGAGGAGCGTTTCGGTGGAGGGGCATTGTGCCTTGGGCCTTAGTTTCGAACCCGTGTCGGGCAGCGATCAACTGAAAGGAAATACGCTCTGGTGTGAATCGCTCTCCTTAAGTGAATTAGGGCGGTTTTTGAGCGGAGCTGACGAGACATGAATCACCCGAATAATTCAAGTCCGTTGGCCCACAAAGCGAGGTAGATAGAACGGATGCGTTCGCCTCAAGCTCCTTGTCGAGGTCCCTCCGACTTGATCGAATCTTTCTTCGGTGACGAGTCTTCAATCGAGCCTCTAGCCGGATCGCTCTTCCAGACAGTCGAAAAACTCGAATACATGATCGTGAATGGAGCGTTTTCCCCAGGGAATAAATTTCCATAACTTTCGGGTTCACGCGCTCCTGCGTTCATTGCCCGGGGAAGCTCAAGAATCCAACTCAGAATTCGCCCCACCTAGAAACACTCGGCGAAACTAGACAGAATCCATCCCATTCGGCATTTTGAGACATTCTCCGACTTCGAAATAAGTAATTCCGGCTCCGACGTCGATATAACCTCAGCTTTACCCGCGGTGAGGAATCTCGGAATTCTTCCGAGAATCGCGAAACTCATCAGATGTTCACGGGGATCCAGATTCACTCATCCAGTCACGTTGACGGGAGTTGGTTTGCCAGATCAGCCAGAGTCTTGAACGGAAAGATTTACCTTGTTCTCTGGTCTGGGTGGAAAGCGATTTTCTCCCATGTAATTGATAAGCTCTTCAATTAACGACGTCCAAGAACAGACATAATCCATTTGCTCCGAAGAGCTCCGTGGAGGGAAGTCGAGGCGAAGCCTTGCCAAGGTTAATGGTGCAAAAAGTTACAATCGGATGAAAGAACGCGCACAAGTCCACTCGGTACGAGTCCGCGGCAAGCGACGGGAGAAGGCAACCACACGGTCGTCTTCCGAATCTCCAGAGCAGCAGTTTTCCGTGCTGAGCATCGAGTCTCCAGTAAATCCATTTAGGTGTTAGTCCGTCGCTCGTTAGCCGGCTAAAAACTAATCGCATTTAGCTCCGAAAAGGCGACCAGGATCAAATTGAATTTCTCTCACAGCCTCCACTAGCGTTTGCGTTGCCCACATCCTTCAACTCAGTTCTATGTCCTGGAACCCGTTCGTCATACGCATGCATCTTCGTCACTTTCTGGAACATTTCGTCGATCGTGTCGCTAACTCCTCCTGAGCGGAGACCCGTGGGAGAATCCGAAAAATATCATGTTGACTAGTATGGGCATCCCGCGCCTCTACGGTCCGACCATTCCACCGTCCGGTGGTCGAACGGATCGACGCCGAATGCGCGCTTTCTACATCCGACTTTCCGTTTTTGGTTTCGATTCAAGTGTGAAAATCACCCATTTTCCCTCGGCTCGTTTCGTCTTGACGACAGTGGGAGGAGAAGGGAAATGAAAAAGAAGAGGATCATCATCAGCGACGTTGTCAGCATTCGTTCGAGCCAACGCGCAATATGGCGGAACCCGGTACGACGGAATCCGGAATCCACTGCGACAGCGCCGCGGCAAAGGTCAGATTCAAACGGAAGGCGACGTCTAGTCGCCTATGGTATCGCCAGTGGAGGGAACCGGGTGAGCTGACCGGATCGAGGGGGCCATCAGATCCCCAGCTCCGAAGGGGAACGCCGCAAGCTTAAAAAGCTCAGTTCGGTAACTCTCGCGGCTGCTGCGAGAGATAAATCGTTCTGAAGAGGAGCGAGCCTAGGAATCATAATCTGTATGGGTCAGAAACTCAGAACTAAGGACCGGTCCCGCGGCTCACCCTCATTCGCTGGCGGGTTAGCCCGCTCTGCTAATTTTTGATGGGGGGAGAATTTCCGAAAAATATTTCTCTCGCATCAATCGGCCCTCAGAGGTACATGGCTCCCTAGTCCTCAGCGAAGACAACGCCCAAATCGAGAGGAACGATTTGACTCCGATCAATCCTTCGGGGTTTGAAGCGTTAGACATCAATGGTTTAGGATACTCAGACTGCGATCCGAT